TTGGGAGACAAGGGATGGACTTGTTGGAAAGATTGAGCTGAGGCTTGTGAAAGCCATTTGACAACTGGATGAAGAAAGACCGCCATGCTGCTGAGCCTGCGGGGGATGGGATGTCAGTGGGCGTGGCCAGAGTCCCCACAGGCAGCAGGCCAGGCTCTGTGTGAGATGTCAGCGTCTGCCTTTGGATATGGATTGCATCAGGGCAGAAGGTGAAAGTCACGGAAGCAGGTGAGTCTGGAAAGAACAGGCAAAAAGAGCCGACCAGGATGACTAAGCATTGGCTCTGGCCTTGTAATCTCTAAATCAGCACTGCCTTCCTTAATCCACAGTGATGTCAGAGCTGCCTCCCTTAATCCTCTGTGATGGTCTCCAGGTTGTTAGAAACCGCTGTGATTGCCTGTGGCTGTTTCTTAAACTTTGCAAGCAGTGCTTTTCCAAGAAGTTATGGAGGGAAGGTAATCTTTATGTGCCCAGGAAACAGAATAGTTTCCTATTCTGTTTCTGTAGTGATAAAGAAAAAGAATTCCAAGCACTGTTCCTGCAGCAGCCGCCCCCTCCCCTTCCCCCTCCCCACAGCTCCTGCAGCATCTCTCAGATACTGGCAAGCATCCTTCTGAAAGCACTGTCTGTGAGTCTCCACTAACAGACTTCCAAGTGCTCTAGTTTTTCAGTTCCCTAGTGAGTTTGTAGACTGGCAGGGTAGACATATAGGGCACATCAAAGGCTCTTGGTGGCATATTTTCTTCCCCTTTCCCTCTACTGGAGAATCAGAGTCTGTAGGCTCCTATGGGACCCTGTAAGAAGCAACGCCCATTTTACCTCATAAACCTGATTCTCCTGGGAGCCCCCCTACCCCTTCCTCACCATGCTGTCTGAAACTTGTAATAAACTTGTTTTGGTGACAGTCTGCCTCAGAATCCTGGTGACCGACATGCACCTACTCCTCAGCACCCCAAACATTTTTAGTATAAATTCATCAAAGTCTCTTGGGGTTGGCAGCCCCGGGTAATCTGGCAGAGCAAACACCGTAACTGGTTTCTTACATAACCCCAGTTGGCAGCAAGGCACCGGGCTCCAAAATTAAGCAACACTTGCTCAACTGAGAAGACTTGCCTTTGTGTGTGTGTGTGTGTGTGTGTGTGTGTGTGTGTGTATTGATGTCTTGTTTGTTCCAATCACATATATTGTTCATAATTATTGGCTGACTTTAATAGTACTTTGAATAAAGCTTTCAATGTCCGGCTTAACTCCTGGACACTTAGAAGCTGACACTCCACTTTGCCTAGAGAAGGCCTCAGTACTTAGAAGGCTTTCAGCTAATAAGATTAGGGAAAAATGGGGAAATGGGGCTGACACCTGATCCAGACTGGGTTACAAGTAGGCATTGGGGCTCTCTGGTCAGAAGTGGGTGGGGTGCTGGCATCTCCTGCACTCTGCAGCAAGCACCCCCCACCCCTCGCAGGCACAGGAGCCTGGCCGGACATGCTCATTGGTTATAAGCTGCATTCTTTCTGTTTCTTCCTCCTTTTCTGATGAAAAGAAAAAGTATTTAACTGAAGAACAGGTGATTGTCAGACATCAGGCTCTGGCAAGTGCTCCCCCATCCTTAGCCTTCTAGGACATTCTTAGCTTGGATTCTTTGAGCCCTTTAGGAAACCCACAAATGCTGCCCATCCCTGGCCCCGCAACTACAGTAAGGACGTTTTCAAAGGAGAATCTTGGGTGCTCTTCCACCATTCACTGAGAGCCGGACCTTTAATCCAATAAAGTGCATGGGGAGGGGGTAAAAACACTGCACTGCAAAACAAATCCCACTTTTCCCCTTTTCTCTTAAAAAACTGCGCACTGACCAAGACAGATTTCAAAATGTTTCTCTGATGCCCAGCAAGACACATCAATTGAGGTTTTTCAGGAAATAATAGGGCTAGCAAGACTTGCCTTGCCAGGTCTCTCAAAGCCTCAGGACTCCCTGGAGGCTAATTGCTGTTTACAGTCACAGACCTTCTTCCCTCCTTTGTAACATTTTCCATCTTAAGCTGGGCCCGCCCTGTTCAGCCCCAGAAGCGTGTAGTCTGGGCGGCTGAGTGGAATTACTACCAGTGGGAACTATGCCGCAAGAGGGGCGGTAAAGCTTCGAAGCTCAGCAAACCTTAGCGGCCTTTTCCACCCTCCCCGCAGAGGTAATTAGCATAGGGAAAATGACTAAGGTGTTGACGTCACCTCTTTCCAGTAGAAACTTACACTTTGTCCCTGTCTGCCTGAGGGCATGCGGGACTTGACTCAGGAATTTGCTGTCTAAACATTATGCTCTGGAAGCGGAGCCCTCCCCGCCCCCAGGGGGCTGGCTCTCCGAGGAGCTTTATAAACTGCGGCTGGAGCGAGAAGCCGCGGTCCCGCTCTCTTGCAAAGGAACCTCCGTCTTGGGCTTGGCTGCGAGCGAGTGAGCCTTTCGTTAAGCCTCTGCCCCGTGAGAAAACAGAATGCATTTTAGGGACTTTAACTTCAATTTTAACTCCCTGATTGCCTGTGTGGCAAACGGTGATGTCTTCAGCGAAAGTGAGACCAGGGTAAGCCTTCCGACGTACTGTGATTTCTGAGCATTTTCCAAACACGAGGCTAATTGGGAGAATTAGCCGAAATACTCAGGGGTGGGTGGCTCTCCCATGGGGGTTTATCAAGTAAGCCCTAAAGTATTTACAGCCTTGAAAATCAGAGACTGTTGCCTGAAGAATTAATTGGTTTTGGATCTGAGCTTCGTCTTTGAATGCTCCCAGGTTCCTTGCGCGGGAGGTGCGAACGTAGTGTGTGGCCACACTGGGCTCTTGTGAACTCCGGAGGGAGGCTGCTTCCAGCTCTTGCGCCTGGAGTCCCTTGTGGGAAATAAATACTGTGAATAGATTGCCTGTTTACAATAATGGCAAGGGTCTGCCTCCAGCTTCCGGATCTTTCTGAGTAGAGAAAAAATACAGACTAAGCAAATATTAAAACTCAGTGTAGGATGAGAGAGCAGCTCTCATCCAAGTAATTAGTCACCATCACTATGCTTTTCTCCTCTGTCTGGTAAAAACCTACGAGCTTCTTTCCCCCGTAGGTTACTACCAACCATCGAATTGATCTTTAATAAGAGTCGTATATGAATGCATATTGAATATGTTCTGGGTTTTTGTGAGGATGGTGTTTGTGTGCTCTGCTTTATATTCAAGCAATCTTAGGTCCTGTAGAGGGTTTGATTATTGTTAGCTAACTGTGTATGGTGTTTGAGAAACTTGGACAGTAGTTCTTGAACGTGATTGTAGAACACATTGTATTCAGAGTCACACCACAGGCTTATGCTGACTGTTATTAGCCTGGTGACATCAATTGTTTCTTAATTAGGTGGAGATATGATTCAATTGCAACTGCTGGGTACCTACTATTAGAACAAATAAGGTTATTTCATAAATGTTGTCAGGATTTGGCAAGAATGCGTGTTCTCTGGAGCTTTGGTTCTGAGCTCTGACTTGCATCCTAAAAATATTCACTAAAGTCATCTCTCCCAAATTCTGAATCATAACTTCAAAACTACATAGTCACAGTGCCTATTGACGAGGTCATGCATAACCTCAGCTTTACCAAGAAACCCTTAAGCCAGAAACTCACTCAGTGGCCAAGAGAGATGGAGAGGCATCGCGTCAACCCGCCAGACATCCGGGGCAGAAGTCAGCTCTGCCTTCTCCACACCCACCTCTGCAGAGCCCCTAGTGGGAAGGTCACAGAAATGCTCCTGAAATGAAGAAAAGCCAGGGAATGCACCTAGAGCAAGGTGGGAAGCCCTGTGAGCTCCTCTACCTTCTGCCTCAGAGCGAAGGGGCTGCAGGTGTAGGCCATTAGATCTTTATTCCCAAAGATGGCTGACTCAGAGTCCCCCGACTCCCTTCCATTTCCAGGATAAGCCTGTGAACAGTTTACCTTCTTGTGCCTCAGGTGCTCTCCTGTGCAGAGAGAACCTCTCAGGATGCAGGATCTCTGCCAGCCACCTTCTCAACACCCCACCTTCCAGAAGTCCCCACAAACGGCCCTGAGTGCTTAGCCTGTAGAGAGGAACTCAAAAACCACCTGGCATCTAAAACTCACAGAATTGCCCAGGAGGTACAGCCCCTCTTCTCTCCTCCCCCACACACTGCCTCGGGAGAGGGTGGGGCTCCCCAGCCTTTTCCAGGAGGCTGATGAGGTTTTTCCAGAAGCCAAGAGCCAAGCTTGTAATCCCTGAATCTGGGCTTTCCACGCTAAGAGATCATGATATTTCATAATTCTCAGCAGCCCTTACAACACCAGGGCGAGCCGAGCACCTGCGTGAAAGCCATAGCTACTGCAAAGGGCCGGTTTGCGCCACGTGCAATTTTAAACCAGTACTCCTTCAGAGAGTTAAAAAGTAACAGGCTGAGATAAAAACCACTTCGGAGTTCACAAGAGCTCCCTTTAAGGCCATTGTTCCTTGTTCTTCAGTTTTTTCAAAAGGTTCTTTCTCTCTACCCCTTCAAATCCACAGCAGGGCCTCAAATTCTGGAAGAACACAGTATCCACCCTAGATAGAGTTAGCTAGTGGGTGGAAGTCACGGGGTGTATCAGGCGTAGGATAATGAGCACCCTGACTGTGCCTCCTTAGAAAATGCTTGTCCCACGATAGAAGGAGTTGGTAATGGCTCTGCTGTTAAATGGTGTTGGTATACTATATCTTGTCTTCTATGCTTCTTATAAGGTCACCCGAGTGAGAGTCTAACCAAAGCTCATGTGTTCGTGTGTTCATCTGTGTGCAAGGCCGGCCTCCTGGCCCCAACATAAAAGACAGCAAAATCTTCTTCCTTAGGGGGGCAGGCTTTTCTCTGTCATCTGGAGTCCTTGAAGTGACTGATAACTCACTTCTTCACCAAGGAGGACAATGACTTAAGAAACCGGTGAATTTTAAACCCTTATTTTTTAACCCTTAAAATTATTTTTAAAATAATTTTATTATTTTTCAGGCCAAATTTGAATCCCTCTTCAGGACGTATGACAAGGACATCACCTTCCAGTATTTTAAGAGCTTCAAACGAGTCCGAATAAACTTCAGCAACCCCTTATCTGCAGCCGACGCCAGGCTGCGACTACACAAGACTGAGTTCCTGGGGAAGGAAATGAAGTTATATTTTGCTCAGGTAAGTGTGTTCACTGTGAAGCAGGCTCCTCCCTCACAGCTCTTCTGTGGCAAAGCACCTTATTCACTGATTGTGGAGTTCACGTCAAGAAAGGCAGGATTCCTACCCTGAATTCTTAGGGTCTCACCTGTTGTGTGAGGAAATCAGGTGAAGGCAATAGTAAGCCTGGACCCTCCTGAGTTAAATCCTGAATGAAGGAAGGAAGCCTTCCTAATTCACCAGAGAGCTCTGGGGTGGGGGCTGGGGAGAGCTCACTGCTGGCTACTCCTGCACACGAGTAAGCTTCTCTGGGATCAGGCCAGCGACATGTCAAGAGCTGTCTCAAGCTGGTACAGATTCTCAATGAGTTCCAACAGCGCCTCACCTTGTAAACCTATATTCAGATCAGCACAGGGCTGTCAGTTGGGGCAGGGGTAGGGGTTATCCGTTGGGTGAGACTCTTAGCTGAGGTGCAGAAAAGGGGGCTGTGGATGGGTTGTCCACTGTTCCCCCAACCTTGGGTACACCCTCAAGGCAGCTCTTAGCTTCCATCTAATACTGTAACAGGGACTGGTAGATTGCAGCTTCTAGAATGTTCTTCCCAAGGTAAAGTCAGCCCTGGTCAAGCTCTGAAGCTCCTTGCTCCTCCACCCTCAGAGGTGTTACTGTGCCTTTGGGCCCCACAGACATTGATAATGAGCTCCTCTGACCTCAACACTGGTGGCTCCCTTTGTTCTAAAGTTGTCTCTGCTCACTTCCTGCCGCTTTGGGCCAGCGTAGCCCGTGTGAGGTGCAGCTCACAGCCCTGGAGCGCTCGCTCTCACTTACCAGCACTGGTAGAGTTTGACTATGAAATGCCCTTCATGGCCTCACGTATTTGAAGACTTGAGTCCTTAGTGGTGCAGTTTTAGAGAGTTAGGGAACTTTAAGAGGTGGGGCCTACCTAAAGGAATTAGATTCCTGATTCCACCCAAGGGAGGAGTGGGCTTTGAGGGGTTAGAGCCCAGCCTCACTTCAAGTTGAAGCTTTCTTTGCTTCCTGGTTGGCAACATGTAACAAGGTACCACATGCTTCTCTAGCTCCCGTGAAGCCTGCTCTGCCTTCCCCATGAGCCAGAATAAGTCTTTCCCCTTAGTTTACATCCAGGGTTGTCATAGACACCTGAGAAGTTTACCCAACACTGACACCAAAACCAGGATTCAGTCCCTCCTTCTTTTCTGTACAGACCACTTCATGGTTCCTTTTGGAATCATACCTGATCCACTGCCTGACCACTGGTCTGCCCTTACATGCTTGCCTTCCAGAAGCTTCCATGAACTGCTGTGACCTTGCTGCATAATAATGAGCTGACTTCTCTCCTCAGACTTTACACATAGGAAGCTCACACCTGGCTCCACCCAATCCAGACAAACAGTTTCTCATCTCTCCACCTGCTTCTCCACCCGTCGGCTGGAAACAAGTAGAAGATGCTACCCCAGTCATAAATTACGACCTTTTATATGCTATCTCTAAGTTGGGGCCAGGTAAGCAGCACCCTCAGGTGGGCAAGTATCTGGGAGGTGTGGGGAGACTGTCTGGGGTCCCCTCAGGACTCACATGGCCTCATGCAAATGTGTTGTATGACTCCTGCAGTATTCCACATTGCTAGTGTGTGTGCCCCTTGAAACATTCCAGGAGATGGCAGCAGCGTGTGGGTTTTGCACACCACTGTCCCCCCAAGTGTCCCCTGAATCTTTTCTGTCACCCAGCCGCCACACTCACTCCAGGGCCCAGATCATGTTGTTCCGGGTGGAATGGGAAAGGGAAAACAGACGAGCCTCTAGGGAGCGAATATCTGTCGTCATTCCTTCCTGACTTCCTTAGTGGGTGGGAGGGAGGGGACTACAGGTCATGGTGAGGACGGGGCCTCAAATGAATCTCATCCATTGGCACTGTGAGCCACAGATACTCCAGCACCCTGTAAACAGCACTTTGCATAGTGCCTGGCCCCCAGTCAGTGCTCAGTGCTGAGTGTCTAGGGTTTGGAAATAGTGAAGTGTTGGTGGCTCCTATCCTATGGAGGGTGGGCAGGAGACTGGGTGGAAGGGAGCTCTACAGTGCAGGGCTGTCAGCATCCCTCTCGCCCCACATAGCAAGCGCAGTCAACACTGCCCATCGGCTCCTGGTTTCTCCTCCACAGACATCTGATGTTCCTTTAGGGCAAGGGTTTTATTTCCATGGCTCATCAGCACTTCCGTGCTGAAAGATTACATTTCTGAGAACACGGCCTAAATGGAAATTCCTCCCATGGTACAAACCGAGAATCACGTTACTAGTGCTAATTGTAGCATGAAGGTCAAAACTGGAAACGGCCTGTGTGAACAAGTAGATGGCTCGCCATGGCGGCTCCTTGCACAGCTGAGGGTTTGGAGTCTGGGTACACATGTTGCACATGGACACAGATCTGCATCTACCACAAGGGACCAAACTATTCCAGGGGCAAGAACTGAGGTGAGCCTTCTGTCTTTGAGAACCCAGACTAGGAACAAAGGGGCTGAGACATTCCTACCAGGGCCATGACTGAATTCTCCAAACCCAAAGCCAGCACACTTCAGTCAGCTTTCAGGGCTGCAGAGAAGGCCTGCCAAGAGCAGTCTGACCTTCATCCATGAAGTTTTTGTTTCTGTGTGTTAGTGTGTGTGTGTGTGTGTGTGATCTCAACTCTGTATTTGGGCCAAGGGTAGATCCTAATAGAAAAGCCTCCACCTGCAGTTTTCCCACCCACCCTCAACGCTCAGGGAGAGCTGAGGCTCCTTCGCTTTAGCCTCTCTGGTGGGGTAGAGGCCATGCTGCCTCCCACTCCCGAGGAGCAGACTAGAAAGCAGGCCCCACCAAGTTGCTACAACAGCTCCAAACTTAACAGGGTCAACAACGGAGTTCAAACCCCCCGCCTTGCATCTGCTGGCAAGCACCTCGTGCCTTGTCTACATCCCCAGCGCCCTCCATTTGTAGAACACAGATCTAGATGGCACTTGTCAGGCATGTGTGTCGTAAGCTGGGTGCTTTGGATTCACTCTCTCATGGACTTGCGCTTATCAATGCCATCGCTGCTCCATTTACAGAAGAGGTGAGGGCACAAAGAAATGAGACAGCCCCAGACAAGTCTTCCACTCCATCCCTGTCCACACGGCAGATACCCCACCATGCTGCCTCCCCTCAGCTTCCAGTATGGACCCCCTCAAGGGATATCCCAGACCCACCCTTCCCAGTCAGGTTTCTTGGTGACAGAAGGCCCATCCTAACCTTGCTGTACCACAGTAATATGAATGTGCATGAGCCTGGGCAAGCTCAGGCTAGCCCAGAAGAGCAATGAGGGAGCACTCCTAGTTCAGTAAATATGTTTCAAAAAAAGTAAATGATGGATGGATGGATGGATGGATGGATGGATGGATGGATGATAGACAGACAATGGTGTCACTCGGGTGGGTATGAGGCACTGAGCTTGGCCTCCAGTGTCACATAAATCAGCATGGTGATGCAGAACCTCTGGTCTCAGCATCTAGAAAAGTGAGGCAAGAGGAGCAGAAGTTTAAGGTCAAATGCAGCTACTCAGTGAGTTCAAGGCCAGCCCATACCATATAAAACCCTGTCTCCAAACAAAGGAAAGGATAAGGTTGGGCAGATTCAAGGAGTATCTGTGTGCCTCCCGCGTGCACATAGGGACTCACCTCCGTTCTGGAGCCCCGCCTACAGGACATTTATTTCCAGCTGTGGTGTCCGCTTGTCTTTTCCGTGTACTGATAGTCCCCACGACGCCCTCGGAGAACGCTGACGGGAGCCCGCCCTCTGGGTGGACATGAGGAGAGTTAGCTACCAGTCCACTAACCGTCCACACTCTGGCTCCCATCCTGCCTCAGTGCTTGACTGAGAGCAATTCTGTGAATAAGCCATCCATGAGGGAGGCACAAGTGCAGACTGGGCCTGGCCCAGTCTCTCTGCCCATCAGAAGACAGGCAGAAAGTGGCCAAGCAAACCCTGGTGTCCCCCCAGGGACCTGCCTGTCATCCTCAAGGATGAGCCCTGGTCCCCACTCAACCATGCTGGTTTGCTTCCCGTAGGAGAGAAGTACGAGCTGCATGCGGCGACAGACACCACCCCCAGTGTGGTGGTCCACGTGTGTGAGAGCGACCAAGAGAATGAGGAGGAGGAGGAGGAGATGGAGAGAATGAAGAGACCCAAGCCAAAAATCATCCAGACTCGGAGGCCAGAGTACACTCCCATCCACCTCAGCTGAACAGGCACCCAGACCAAGACAGCGTGTTCCGAGTCCCACGTGTGGGAAGGAGTCTTTTACTGTGCAGGTGGCTGGTCGTGGCTTTGGAGTAACAGCCGTGACCACTGTGGCAGAAATTCCAGTTCATGTTGCTCAGAAGAGAGTCAAGGCCTCCTCTCCTTGTTCTGATGATGCACCTCAGTCCAGGTCCACGGCACCTGGGAATGTCTTGGGCCATTCACTGAGTGTGTGGCAATCCCAAGAGGATACTGGGGACATCCTGAGAAAACTGATAGTGTCTTGTACTCGCTCTTTTCTAGATTGTGTTTTTGGCAAGGACAGGTTGACTGGTGGCCCAGGGAGAGATTTCTGTTTCCAACCAGTGTTCAGGGTGCAGCCCCCACTGGTAGGCAGAGGCACCCCCCAAAGCCACCAAGTGTCCAGTGCAGAAAGGTTGTGGGACAACCCCACCCGCGCAGTGTGGAAATCGTCCTTGTTCCTTCCCTTGTGGTCTAACGTTCATGCATGTGTATCACTGGGTCCCAAGACCAACCTTTGTTCACACAGGAAGTTACGATGTTGTTTTCCATCTTGGGAAGCTAGGAAAGTTCTGGAACACTCTTACCACGTCTCTTGGTCCTGGCTGTCTCTGCACAGCACCCACGAATGTGGGGTCAAGGCTGGAGATGACCGCACGTCACTCGTGCTTTCCTGCAAAAGTTGATCTTGAGTCCCCGTGTAGAACTTAGTTTATCCAGTGGGAGAGCAGCAGGTTCGCTGCCAGCCGTCTGCGGGTGGGAAGGTTTGGTTTGGGTGTTTGTGTTTGGCACTGGTCTCCATTGTTTCCTTCATGTAGTGGTTTGTGTGTGAATTTCAGCTAAAACCCTCTTTGGGAACTGTTGGTTGAGACAGTCTTTCACCCCTATTGAAACATGAAGATAAACTTGTAAATAAAGCCCAGAGCATATCTTAATACCTGTCTGTACCTGGGTGGACGTAGAGGGCAGTGGGAGTTTCCAGCTACCTGTGACTTGTGCGTGGTAGAAGTTACTGTCATGTGTTTAATGGGGTGAATCAGAGCATGTGGAATATGTCGTAGCCATGTGTTCCTAGAGGGACACAGTGCCTTCCCCTCATTCAGACGACCGTGACACTCGATGAACATGGGGATTTCTCCTCTTCTAGTCATCGTGTGTGTATCTGGTAAATAGGTCTTCTATTTTGGTCTTACAATGCCATTATAAAGTTTGTCACTCTGAATAACCTAATGCCAATTAACAGTGCATGCTTGGGGAACTCAGAAGGTGGTTTCTCCTGGGGAGCAAATTCATCGGCATTCGGTTTTCCAACTGTTTGCAATGTGAAATGGGTTGATGTTCTCCACACCCTGTTTCCAGCCTTCACTCGGTGGGAAGGGAGCCCACAAGTGGGAGGTTATCACATTGCTGCCCAGTGTTTCTAGTTCTGCACTTTGAACTGGAGAGGCTAACCTCAAAGATATTTTTTTTAACTGCATTCTATAATAAATCAGCACAATATGCTCTTCTGGAGAAGTTGTTTGTCTTTTTCTTTGTGAGACCAGTGTAAGAGGTTGCCTTCATTTATCAACTCCTACTTACAACTCATGTCAAGCACATATCACTCGGGACAGGGCCAGCATCTCCTCTGTACAGGGAACAGACAGTCTTATGCCAGCCCTGTTCACTAGCACCTCTGCTGAGCTGTTTGTTCATTCACTCATTCATTCATTCATTCATTCATTCATTCATTCACATATGGAGCTGGAAATTAAGTCCAAAGCCCCATATGTTCCAGGTAAGCACTTCTACCACTGAGCTACACCTCCAGCTCCAGTAATCCCTGCCAATCTGAGGAGTTCTCTACTAAATAGAATATCCAGAGAAAATAAGGTAGACCGCATTTCTAAACCTGTATTTAGTATAGATCTATGTATGTAGTCACACCCCACACTGCATGTGTGTAGCTCAGGGGACAGCTGGTGACAGTCTGTTTTATCTTTTGACCCTGCAAGTCCCAGGGATTGAACTCAGGTCATCGGGTTTGGCTACAAGCATTTTTACCTGCTATGCTAGATAAAAATTGTTCAGAAGATCTGAAACTCTGGCTGCCTTTTCTCTGGAAAAAGGATTGTGAAGCTCCTGGCCAGCCTGCAAAAGCCTCAATAATTATTAATTTGCTAAAATATGGAAAGAGACAATCTTGATCATGATTAACATTAAATAGTCCTCCGTGGAAATTTACATGCTACCCTTTTTAATCCAGTTGCTCAGAGCTAATTATTAAACAGATTCACTAATCGGCTACCTGGAGATAGAAGGGACATATTTCTAAATAGAAACACACCATGGGGTTCCCTCTATTCTAGATGACCAAGACCGTGTGGTGTGCTGGCCCAGGTACTAGGTCATAAATAACCCTAGAAGAAAGCTGAGGTGTTGCCCAGTAACTGAGCTGCTACAGAAAGGTGGTAGCCCCCCTGCCGAAGAAGAAGCTGACCCTAGAGGAGAACTCATGGGTCACTGGACACCCACGTGGAAGACCTCTTCTGAGTAGTCCCGTGGTAGGCATGAGAGGCTGAAAGTTTGAACAATTACTGACTAGACTGGCCAGATCTGAAGGCCCGGCAACATGCCTAAGACTCACGGACCGTGGTCTGAGAGGGAGGGCCTCAGCATACGGATACAGGGTTGGCGGGTCAGGACGTATGTGGCTATTGATCAAATGTAGTTCTTAAACAGTGTCAGACCATGGTGCAAGGGAATGATGAAGCAAGGTTGCTCAGAGGAGCCAGGAGGCAGAGACAAGGGAAGGGGCTAGGGACCAAGTATCACATTCAGAGGTATACACACCCCACTACAACCCCTGACCTGTGACCTCTAGTTTGCCCTCATCTCCTAACATTTCTACCACCCCCCAAAATAGTATCACTATCTGCGGTGATAGGCAGAGGACCAAGCCTCCTACACACGATATGTAGAGAACACCTAATATGAAGACTTCATGGGTATCTGACCGACCTGGTAAGTTGGGGTCATCCAGGTAGCCATGCTCCTTGGAATGATTGCTAAATCAGCGTAATACTGGCACACGGTGAACAGGGTGTGGGAGGTCTTGACACTGTTAAGGCTCAGGGTTATAGACAGTGATTTGCAAACAGCGAACCCAGCATGGAGAAGAGGACACTCCCAGACTGTTCTATGACTTAGTGTCCACAGGAAATCTGGTTTTTCAGAGAGCTTAAATTTTTAGGTGAGACATAACAGAACTCAACTGTGTAGTAAATAAGCTTAATCAAATATTAAATCACAAAGAGTGAAATGCAGCATGATTTGGGCAAAACCGAACAGGCAGCTGGGATACATCCTATTTCACAGTCTGGAACGTTTGCCTCCACTTAATAAGTGTGTTGTTCAGTTACACTCATCAAAAGTCAGCAGCTCAGATAGAAACTACACAAATAATTCACCTCAAAATTACTTAGGAGGAAGATCCCGAGTTTCAAAAGCCCTCCCTTCCCTGGTATCTGGACTTCTGCATCTGAAGTAGGACCTGGGGGGTTTCTTTGAAGTGTGCTTCTTTCCACAACTGGTAAGTAATTCACACTGGAAACTCAGTCTGACTCATGGAGTCACTTGGCCATGGGGCAGACAGGTTTCCTTTGCACACACCCATCTCCTCCAGGAAGTCTTTTGTACTGTTCGTGAATGGCCATTTTCATCATGGCACACGTATGAAAGTCGGAAATGTCTGCCTTTGATTGAGTTGTAGTGCCCACAGCTGACATTTCCCCTCCCTCTGAGGTTCAGACTAGGGCTTTAATCACCCTTCTTGAGGGAATGGACTGGCTGGCAGATGTTGAGCCTCTAGCTGTAAGCCGTTGATTCTCTACTATGCTTGTTCTAACACACACACACACACACACACACACACACGCACGAACGAACCATTTCTCATCCACGCTTCACTTAGAATACTACCCCAACCCAGCTTGTTCCACCATGTTGTCTACACTGTAAGGACAAGCCTGTCTCTGTCCTGCTCCTTGGTGCCCCAGTCATAGGCAGTTATCACAGTGCCTGGCCTACTGTGCTCTACAAATACTGATGAGTAATTAGCCAACTCAGTATTGTTCTACAAATATTTATCATTAATGCCTGTTCCTCAGAAAATCAACACTAGTCTGCTGGGTCCTGTTGTGCTCCACTCTTCCTTGTCATGAGCATTGTCTGTTTCAGCAAAATTATTTGCCTTCCTTGTTTCAACCTAAATTGGCTGGTGATGTATTTATAAAAAGATAAAGAGAGAGGGGATATGTTTGGTGGTGGTGTAGTCAGGTGTGGGGGAAAGGGGTGCCTCCATGGGCCCATGCTGAGGTATCCCTAACCCTTGAGGGACCAGCCACAGGATGGTGTATAGAATAGAGTTTATTCAGGGCATGGGGAGGGGAGTAGAGGGGAGTAGAGGCAGAGAGAGACACAGAAAAAGAGAGAGAGAGAGAGAGAGAGAGAGAGAGAGAGAGAGAGAGAGAGAGAGAGAGAGAAAGTAGAGAAGTAGAGGCTGACTGACCATGAGCGGGGAAGAGGTGAGGGGACAGAGTGGGAGCAGGAAGGCAAGAGCAAGAGAGTGAGGAGGGGCTAGCAGCCCCCTCTTTAGTGAGTCAGGCGTACCTGGCTGTTACCAGGTAACTGTGGGGTGGAGCTTAGACAAAATGCGAACAGCTGGAAACTGGATTTTGGGTAGCCAGCTAATGGCCGATAGTAGACATTGAACATACTTTATGGATACTAAATTGATTAGAACGATTGATCAATGGATCGGTGGATGTATAGATCCGTTGATGGAGGATGAATAGGATCAACTGGTGGGTGGGTGGATGGATGGATGGATGGGAAAGTATGTGGCTGGACAGATAGACTGGATGGATAGACAGGGTGGCTGGGTGGTTGGGGTAGGGAGGTATGGATCGATGGGCTGGTGAATGGGTGGGTGGATATCGATTGGTAGGAAGGTAGATAGGTGAATGGACAGATAGATAATGAGAATTTTGAAGAATGAAAAATGAGCTTCTGCTGAGAGAGAATAGAGAAACCATGAGGCCTGTCCCTGTCTCTCCCGCCAGTAAGCAGCTCAGTGCTTCAATCCCACAAACTGTCAGGCTGCTGATGCCATGGGAAATTAAAAGCAGGGATTAGGAGTCGTGATTGTGAGAGCAGTCACTGAGAAGAAGAAAGGCTTGTGTAAAACTGTTTCTTCTCAGACAGAGATTGGCTGGAGGGGCGAATGACTGGGAAGGTCTTGAAAGAGCTTTCTCCAGTAATGAGACTGCCTGTTCCTGACCAAGAGACCTGCTGGCAGAAGAGACACCAAGCAGCAGGAACAGGGGTGTGTGCGTTGCAGGGGTGTGCATCTGCCCAAAACTGCCAAAGTGCAGGCAAATGGGAGTCGTTTGTTACTGCATGCGAGTAAAGACGATTTGACTTAAAAAATCAGCATATGGGGAGAAAACCCAAGTCCTGGACAGTGCGTGAGAATTAAAGGAAGATCTTCATCCCTGTCATCTTAGAGACATGCAAGAGATGCAAAGAGTTGGCAGCATTTAAAACATGCTGCTTGTTACACGGATCTAGGACCCTGTTTGAGTGTGAATATTCTAAGCATTTTCTAGAAGACATTGTCTAATTCTGTGTGTGCATGCATGTCTGTGTGTGCGTGTCTGTGTGTGTGTGTCTCTCTGTGTGTATATTTTAAACCCAAAGCCATGTACAGGCTGTGGAAGCATTTACTACTGAGCTACACTCCCAGCCACAGGAAAAACCAACCTGAGGGAGCTGAAGAGATGTTTCAGCAATGAAGAACACTCTTACAGGGACCTAGATTCAATTCCTAAGACACACTTGGTGACTGTCAATCATCCATAACTGAAGGTCTGGGGTAACCAATGGCCTCTAGCAACGTTCATATATGAGCACCAGGTAAACGCACCGTGCTCACTCAGGCAAATGCTCAAACAATTTAACAAGTTCACTTAGACCACACTCATGTCCTTCAAATCAAAATGATTGATTTCCTATGCTCCTGTAACCTGTTTTTTTTTCTTCTTCAAGAACAACACACATTTGTCTGTAAAGTATAGAAAAACATGTGGGTATGATGAGAGTTGTTGGTCTCTGCCATGGACTTTGACTACTAGAACCTTCTGAGATTCTACCAGGACAGGAAATACTGCAGATACCCAGGGCATAAAATGAACCCTGTCACCCTGGCTGGTCATGTTATAAAAGGTAGGTAGGGATACACCACTGAATTTTTGGAAATTATAAATTACCAAAAAATCCTAAATTTGGTTTAGTTTTGTTTGGGGGGAAATCCATCTTCCTCTCAAGGATACAGGTATTTGAATCCAGCAGGAACACTGGAATGGGCGCATGACTAACCATTCTCAGGGAAGGAGAAGCAACAGTCACTAAGAGGCTAAGGCTGTAAGAGGCTCGGCCTTTGGGGATATCAGCCCTCCTGTGACTATTGTCTG